CTTCATTCCATGCTTCCCACTGCAAAGGGGTGGAACCGAGGAAAGAATCTGCAACAGGTAATTTGTGTAATGGATTTTCCCTTTTTCCCCAAGTTGAATATGCTTGAGCGGGTCCTGGTGGCTGTGAGTTTGAAAAGGCTTTGCCTCATTTTTTTTTTTTCCTTGTGCACTGGTTTTAATGCTACGTATCAATCACTAATGTTCCCTGTGTTTGCTATTCCAATAGTGTTAAGTTGTAACTGTTTAAATAAGTCTTGAGGAATTGGTTCTGATCCTGAAGTGGGTGAGAATGCAAATACGTCCGTCGTGTGTAGCACATACCCCTTTAAAATGTGGTCTTAATATTTACAGTTTTCATCAATATTTGTGCTGGGGGAACTTGTTTGCTTGAATGTGTTCATAAAGGTAAGTATAAAAGTGACACGAGAACAAGCCAGCGGAATGTACTTAAAATATATATATATTCACTATTCTATAAAGTGAATTTTTAAATTGCCCAACTCTAAACATAAGCACTGGAGAGAAAACAAGCAAGTGTATGAGTCAGAGATTCCCCTTTTGCTTGTCCTGCTCTGTACTGTATAGATGGAAGCTGAGATGGAAGCGTGTCCAGAGGAGAGCCACCAAGCTGGTGAGGGGTCTGGAGAACAGGGTCCTGTGAGGAGAGGCTGAGGGAACTGGGCATGTTGAGTTTGGAGAAGAGGAGGCTGAGGGGGGACCTCATTGCCCTCTACAACTCCCTGAAAGGAGGGTGTAGAGAGGTGAGTGTTGGCCTCTTCTCCCAAGGGAATAAAATACAGGAGCAGAGGAAATGGTCTGAAGTTGCGGCAGGGGAGGTTTAGATTAGATATCAGGAAGAATTACTTTCCTGAGAGGGTGGTCAGGCACTGGAACAGCCTGCCCAGGGAGGTGGTGGAGTCGCTGTCCCTGGAGGTATTGAAGAAACATGTAAACATGGCACTTCAGGGCGTGCTCTAGTGCTCGAGATTGTTGGTTTGTGTCTGGTTTTTTGGTTTTGATTTTAGTTTTTTTTGTGTGTGTGTGTGTTTATCCGACCTAAACCTCCTCTGGCAAATATTCTCTATCTATATATATAAATATACACACTATATGTAGGAATGCACTATAATTCAAAGTGAAAACACAAGTAGCCAATAGAAGCTGACTGTGAAACCATGCACCACCAATGGTAAGTATAGCGTGCCAATTAGTCGATTTGGGGTAAAATATATAAGCTTGCAGTGTACAAGCCAAGGTGTGCTGGCTCTGTGGAGTTCCCACCTAGCGCTCACCCCTGCACAGACACAAAATAAACACATATCTCCACTTTCCTGTGCGGATCAGCTCTTCACACACCGGGCAGAGAACCCAGCCTTGGGACAGCAGGCAGTGATACCTAAGGCAGATTTTATGTAGTTTATAAATGGTTAAACTGTAGAGAATCTTCTTTTAGAGAAGAAATGTAGCTATTTTAGCCACCATCCCAAATGATTTTCAAGAACTTAGTAAGATAAGAAAGGGTGTACATGGCCCTGAGAACATGGTGACCTAAGACAGGGACGCAATAAATATGGACATTGTCTGACAAACAGGTAGTAGCAGATAGATCATAAGTTTTAATGAGCAATTAAGCAGTTAGAATGTTTTGCCAACATGAAAAGTGAGCCAAAGGACAGGTAACGAAGATGAAGATTGAGGAAGAAATGACCCTCACTCAAAATGAGGACCACCAGAAGGCACAACTACGCATGCCCAAAAGCTTATTATAATATGTAAATGAATTTTTGGAAATGTAATGAATATGCTAATGTTTTCTGGGAATTGCATTGAATATGTATACCTGCTGTGTATAAATTTAATTTGACAACAGTATTTGGGGTGCACAATAGGAGGAGCTATCCCCTGTGCACCCGTCGCCGCAATAAAGAATGCCTGCTTTCTGAACTTAAAATTGAGCCATCCAGCGTGACCTGGACAGGCTGGACAGCTGGGCAGAGAAGAACCTGGTGAGGTTCAACAAGGGCAAATGTAGGGTTCTACACATGGGGAGGAAGAACCCCAGGCACCAATATAGATTAGGGGTGGATCTTCTGGAAACCACTACTGAGGAGAAGGATCTGGGAGCCCTGGTGGATGGCAAACTTTCCATGAGCCAGCAATGTGTCGTTGTCGCCAAGAGGGCCAATGGGATCCTGGGCTGCATAGAGAAGAGCGTGGCCAGGAGGTTGAGGGAGGTCATTCTCCCTCTCTACTCTGCACTGGTGAGGCCACAACTGGAATAATGCGTCCAGTTCTGGTTTCCCCAGTTCAAGAGGGACAGGGAACTACTGGAGAGAGTCCAGCAAAGGGCAACAAAGATGATTCAAGGACTGGAGCATCTCCCTTATGAAGAAAGGCTCAAAGATATGGGGCTCTTCTGCCTGGAGAAGAGAAGACCTCTGAGGGGAGACCTCATTCACGTTTACAAGTACCTAAAGGGTGGGTTGAAGGATGATGGAGCCGGACTCTTTTCAGTGGTTCCCAGTGACAGGACGAGGGGCAACGGGCACAAGCTGGAACATAGGAAGTTCCACTCAAATATGAGGAACTTCTTTCCAGTGAGGGTGACGGAGCCCTGGAACAGGCTGCCCAGAGAGGGTGTGGAGTCCCCTTCTCTGGAGATCTTCAAGCCCTGCCTGGATGCTCCTGAGTGATGAGCTCTGGGCAGCCCTGCTTTAGCAGGGGGGTTGGACTGCGTGATCTCTAGAGGTCCCTTCCAACTCTGACAGTTCCGTGATCCCGTGAAGGTTTTACCTGCCGGTGTGCGGTAACATCGGCAGGGTGGGAGGGAGGGAAGGCCGCCCACTCCGCTGCCCACCCCCCGTGCCCTCCAGGCCACCCGGTGACCAGCCCAGAGCGGCAGCGGGGCCGTGAGGGAGGAGTTGAAGCGGGACCTCACCGCCTCGCGCCCGCCGCCCCACCCTCCACCGCGCGCACGCGTAGCCCCGCCCCTCCCGCCGCCTTCCGCCCAACCCCAGCGCCTTGGGGCGTGACGCCGGATGGGGCTCTCCCTAACCGGGC